GAAAATGAAAAAAAATTGTTATATATATCAACTAAATAGTAAATGACGCCAAGATTCAAACCCAAATTCATATAAAAACCAATCCTCAAGCTAACCAATAAGCCATTCGAACGTATTTGATATAAATATGAAGCATTATTCTATTTAAAGTTTAAAATATGGGGTGACCACCAAAACCAATTGTTGACCGGTTCCGATCTAACCGGCCGATTAGTAGTTAGATCGGCCGGTTTTTCCCAATTATAGGAGAAATAACACACAATACCCATACCTAAACTGCATATTACATAAAGGAAACAATTTATATAAAGTTGTGACCCTAAATAATCAATCAAACTAAGACGCACCTCATAACCCCACTAGGAGAAATTGTTTTTTTAAATCCCTCAAATCCGATCACCTCTGACCTTGAGAAATATGGATGAAAGAAAAAGACTTTTTAAGTCTCTGAAAAAAGTTCACTCGGTAATGTATTTATCTAGACCATAAATTTTTAAGATTTTTAAGTGCATTTTTTAAATTTTAAATTTTATAATTAGAGATGAAAATAAATTTTCACGTTATTTTAAAGATATACGATATTAAAATGACATCGTTCGTTACTACTTGAAGGTGCGTTGATTGTTGAGGGCCTCAGCTTTTTACAAACCAGACCCTATGTTATACAAACAAAAATTATATTCACATGCAATTGCAACGCACAAAATATTTAGGGCACTGGAAGAGGTTATAAATCTCATTAGAATCAAAAGTGCAGCGGAGAACCCAGAGAAGGGCTTCAAAGACGGAGATAATTATCTCCAGCCCACTACCATCATCGAAACATAAAAAACCTATCCACAAAATATTCCCCATGCTTAAAGAAACAAGTCATATCCCCTGCTTCATCAGTTCCACATCCCTCTTCACCAAGTTTCAAATCAAACTGGTTAAAGATGACTGAATTGATTGCATTCCTGCACTTGTTAATTAAACCACCGTCAATTATCCTTCTAATAACATGGTCTTCAGCAATAATAGAGAGTAAGCAACAGATGATTAGAATAAAAAATGAAAAGATAACTACTCACCATGGCTAAATCAGAATGGGCATCATACATGGGTTACAAGATGAATTGCAGTACCAGCCGCCATTGCGGCGTAGTAATAATAGTAATGGAAAGGGATAGATCACTAGAGGAGGTGACAATGCATATGCAACCCTGCACCATGGACACACTAATTAAGGTGTACACATAAGCTCTTTCAAATTTGAACATCTTCCTCCCTCCTTCCTCTCCTCATGCAGGCTGTAATTTTTATATATCGAGGCCTTACAGCCCTTGGGAAAAGGCTATGACGATGATGACGCATTACAGCCCTTGATCCCGTGAAAAAGAGATGGTGAAACTTAGAAAAGAAATGCAAAGAACCCATCCATAAAAAAGATAGGATCACAACTTCGATTGAACCTTTTGAGATACTATTAAACAATACTCGTGCTTTTTAATATGGCCATCCATCCATCCAAAAAAATTTTGGAAGGCAACATGTAAACCAAAACCCTGCAAGCAGTCTTCCTAACATATGAATGATTGAGGCACCAATGTGCCTCTAATTCTCCTATGAGGCCAGATTCTATAAGAAATTTTTGGGATATGACTGAGTGCCCATATTTCATATTTTCCAACTATTGCAGTCTTTTACTAAGTCCACAGAAACATGGAAACCAATGGCATTTAGAATGACATTTTAGAACTGTAATTTTGACTTATTTAATTTACAAAAGATGAGTGCAAGAGGAATTTTATGGAATTATTCAGAAAGATTTGGAGAATTTCAGCAGAATTTCTGTTTTCCCCTATGAGGGTTGATTTTCAGGAAAAATCCACTATTTTCAAGGACGAATAGAGAAAATTTAGTAATACATTGGGGAATCAAGGGTGTAATATTATCTGAAAGAAGCTCACTTCCAACGTTATCATGAATAATCTTGAGCATTCCAGGCTTCAGCAGTTTACTTTCTCAGCAAAGATTTTAAATAAATGAGTACTTCTCCATAAGAGTTAAATATGCAAATACTTACATTATAGTTTCTTTTCAATCTCTTCAATTGCACGTTCATAATACGTCATTCTGCGGATCAACGTAAGAGCGTCTTCGAAATCACGGTTCTCAAATGCCTTCTCATAGGAATTCTGGGCTTTTCCTAGTTTGACTCGTATCTACTCAGGACATAAAGGATCATTGAGCAAAACAAACAGGATCAAAACTATCATCATAAGCAGTACTGAAAGGACAAGCTGTTTGAATCTCCCATTACATGACTAACACAATATTCTAAGACTAAGCTCCATAATAGGGCAAAAGCCAGTATTCCTCACCTCACTTTCAATTTGCTTGAGAGCCTCCTTGTCAACAGCTTCTTCAACAGATTCCCTGATTTCCATTATCTACGACAAAGTAATCAAAATACAACCATGTCTTGAAATCGTAAGGAAGAAAATCCCTATCGCAGTGAATTTAATATAATACCTTTTTAACATGGAGTGTATTTTATATGGAAAAGCCCTATCGTGGAGTGAATTGGAGGTATATTTTTCTCTGGATTTAAAGTTTTTCCTTTTTATATGGAAAAACCTTATCAGAAAGCGAAGCTAATAAGTAATATTTTCTGTCAGCAACTTGAGAATTAGTTACTATATCCATATCAACTTCTTTTTTCAATCACCTCCACAAGAAAATCTGGGTCTGAAATTGTTTTCTCCTCATCAAAATCCACACCTTCAAGTCTCACCTGCCAATCATAGAAAGGAACAATGTCACTCATGGATCATAGCCATAATAGTGCAATAAATTTCAACACAACAGAGAGAAGGGATTTAAGACACGAGGCTCTGAATATAGATCAGTAGTTCTATTACCAGGTCCATGATAGAAATAATGTCAATGGAATTTTGAACTCAAGATGGTGTTTGACAATTTCAAGAGTATTCAATTGAAACAAAATCCCATCCATAGATAGGAAGTCCAGTTATAAAATATTCACTTCTCACAAAATGACACTTTCTAATGAACAAAGGAGAGCTCAAATTCAAGAATAACAGTGACAAGTGACTTCCACAAGACAAAAGAAAGCCAAGAAACACAGGATAAAAAGCACAATGCAAGTCTCATTTAAACAGAGGAATTATTATGTTCCCCACATATAGAAATTATAAAAGAGAAAAAAAAGTACCCCACATATAGAAATTATAAAAGAGAAAAAAAAGTACCCCACATATTGAAAAGGCACTCACCAGATATATTGCCCTTGATAGTGGCCTGCTAAGTGTATGGTATGCTTCAATTACACGCAATGACTGTTCAGCAGCATAATTTTTTTCTCTCTGAACCCACAAACAGCAAAAAGTTAACTGCAACCTTTCAGACCTAACACTTAATATTCCTTTGCAAAACTAAAAATATTCCCAATAGTTATGATAAAGCTCCAACCTCAGATTTCGAATGAACTAAATCAGGATGAAGTTTCTTTTGCCATTCCTTGTATTTGTTCTCTAGATTATGATCCCTTATGTCATATCCCTTCTTCCTGTTTTCGTTCCAATGAAGCCATATCGACACAATTAGACAACTAGTAACTAGCTTCTCATAATTACTTATTGGATATCAATTCAATATTCTGTGGGGCAAGGAACGAAATTTCATTTGAACTGGTTTTGCGACTTTCCATTGCCCAACTCCTTAATTGTCAAGTTTATCTTGTTAGATAAAAAAATGTCGATTCATCTGAAACATCCGATATTTAAAAACTAAAACAGAAAATCATTCGATCAACACATGCAATCCATTGTGTTGGTTCTGTAACTCTTAACACAGCCTTCTCCTCACCTTACAATCTCTTTTTCCAATTCCAGAAACCTCATGAATAGCATAATAGGATCTATAGAAATTATTGTGCACAACTATAGGGTTTAGTAGCCATAATTCTCAGACTCCCAAATTTATCACATAATAAAAGTAATAATAGTAACAACAACAGCAACAACAAAAATAATAATAATAATAAGAACAAGAAGAAGGAACTTACAGTCCAAAAATATCAAAGTAATTAATGGAGGGATCAAGAGGCTGGACACTTCGGCATGAATCACATGAAAGGAATGGAAATGAAGCAGCAGAAGCGCCACATGACCAGCACTTTTGATCTCCTTTATCCACTGCGAAAGAACTAAAAACCCTAAATGAACAACAAGAAGAAGAACAAAAGCCGCTGTTTCCCTGTAAGCCCTCCAAAAACCAAGAATGGGGACCAAAAACGGAGAAGTGGGGCCATCTAACTGTGGCGTCCCTGGCTTCTCCGTAGCTCCCAAAAATACTTGAACAAGAAAATGGGGTTAAATACTTGATGGGTAATTTAAATAGTTTCAAGGAACTCAACATTTCGATATGTTGAGGCCTTCTCCGAAGCTCAGAGTATGATTTCTTAAAATGACCGCCTCATTTACGACAGTTGCGTGATATATACTTGTGAGGTGGGAACATCCCCTTCGTAAAATAGCTACTTTTGCAAGCGCTCCATGTGTGTGCATGCAGGAGTAAGAAATGGGCTCAACGGTAGGGGGTGGCAACGGGTCGGGCGGCCCAGCCCCAAAAAAATCATAGGACACTGGCCCAGACCCGGACCAGACTGGACCCGGACACGGGTAGTGTATGAAGGATGAGTCCAGGTCCATTGCCACCCTTACTCAAGAAGTGCTTAAAATAACGGTTCCTAGATCACTCATCTTAAAAATCGGTTCGAATAGGTCGATTGGGATCGGTGATATGTTCGAGTGAATTGGTTAATAAAAAATAAAAAATTTAAAAATAACACAAAATAAATGTTGGGGTTGGATCTGCCGGTTCTCTGATGGAACCGACTGATTCTTGATATACAGTGGGAACCAAATTGGTCTTACCGATTCACAATCCGAATCAAATGATTCTGACCTGAATTAGTAGACTAGGTGATCGAGGTGGCAAGGCCTCAAAATGTGAGGCAGTTAACGCTATTCCTACCACGGGCGATCATTTTTGACCAATGTTCGCAAAATCGAACCGGTACGGCTAACCAGACATGAGGTTAGAGCGGTTTGAACAGGAACCAGACTAACCGGGGCGGTTTATCGGACTAACCGGTCAAGTAAATTTTTTTTAAAAAATTGGTCAAAAACTCCCAAAAAAATTAAAAAAATAGAAATACTTAAATTAAATATATAATATCTTATTGCATATATTTATCTTACAAAAAAAAAATTGAAACCACTTTTTATAAATTAATATTTGAATCCTATGGTCCTATACATTAAAATATTTTAGGATATTTTTTTAATATATTTTTGTCATGTAACATATTCTTCCAAGAATTAACATATGTATCCCAAACCTTACATGAAAAACTTTTTGGTTTTTTTTTTTTTATAAAAAAATTGCTCACATTAGGAATTAAAGTTTATGCACATTTTTTTCAAATAACAAAAGTAGCTTGGTGCTATTAAATCAAATAAAAATGCCAACTAATTATGACAAGAAATAGAATGGACATCTTCCTTATAGTTAGATAAAGCATAATTCATACAATATATTTTTGATGTAGTTAAATAAGGCATTCTTCACAAAAAGTACATCTCATGATATGCAACAAAACGAAAAATCAATGCACAACACACTAATATGTTCTACTGTTCTTATATGTTATTGTATGTATCTACCATATCCATATCAGTGTGTTGTGCATTGATATTATCAAAAAATAAGACCAGGAGAACAAATAATTTGATCAAAAATAAATTTATTAAGCAAATTAGAAAAACATATTAATCAAAAAACATAATTTTATAAAAAAATCATAATTCTATTAAAAATAATTTTATTTAAGTAAAATAGAAAAACACTTTCCAATTTCATTAAAAAACATAATTTTCTTAATTTTTGTTAGAAAAATCGACTTTTCAAAAACCCTAAAAGTGAAACAACATTTCGAGCAAGAAACTACCATCAATATTTGGATAATCAAACAAATAAATATACGTGCATTGTAAAGGCTTTGATCATCTTTCAAACGCACCAAATATCATCAAAAAATATTTGATATTTTTAATTTAATTGAAGAAAAGGCGAAAATTTCAGATCTATGAAAATTTCATGATATGGTGCAACGAAAAAATTCATATAAAAAAAATTACTCAATCATAAATAAACATATCAATTTTATTTGACATATGAAGCCTCAATGATTGAAATACACTGAATTTGATAAAAAACAACCAATAAATGGAAAAAAATTATGTGTTTTTTGGTAGAAGACAAGTTCTCGGAGCAATAGCTTTACGAGCAAAAATAGACCCTTGATTTTTTGTTTTCTGAACAAATTAAAACTTGAATCTAGTAAATACTTCGAATAGAAATCAAACCCATCAAATTTCATCAAGAACCATTAGGTATTGAGGAGATTATTGGAAGAATGGCGAAAATTTCAAAAACCTAAAAACTCTGCCATTTCAATACAAGAAACTCCTTTTTTTTTTCAATGTTTAAATCCAAATTACTTGTTTTACATCAAGAATATAGTGATTTAAACTATTAAAACATGAAAAATATACAAAAAATTGGCCGCAAACCGAATAAAAAAAGGTGCAAAATTGGATTCACAAATTTTCGTCTACATCTAACGGTCTCTATTTCAAAATAACGCCGTTATTTATAAGGTACCGTTATTTCCTAAAAAACACCGTTATATTGGCGAACCGGTCTGGTTAATTGAAAACTGGCCGGTTCGACCTTGAACCGGCCGGTTTTGTGGTTGATTTTTTTTGGAGAGTGTCGTCTTGTAAGATGTACTGTAAAACAGGCTTTAACTAGACTTGCCATCCCATCGGTAACGTTCTAACCGGCCGGTTCCGACTCAGACTCGCCGGTTTTGTGAACACTGTTTGTGACTAAACTACCCAAAAAAAAAAAAATACATAATAAAGTGTCAAGATAAATCGGGTCAGTTAGGTTGGTCAAGCTGGAGCCGACTCAATTGGGGGCTAGGCTGGATTGGGACTCGATAAGTTCCAAATCTACCCCGAACCCGGCTCAAATAGGCCTTCGCTGCATTAGGACCCAATGAAGGCCAAATCCGAACACTCAAACCTGACACACTAGAGAAGGGTTGGGGTCCAAAGCTAGACTAGGGTCGGGATGGGTTGTTGTCAACCCGAACCGACCAGCACATCTTTGTGTTTTTTTTCAACATTTTTGGTCCCCTGAAACTGTCGACGTAGCACAACTTTATCTTATGCGTCCTAAATGAGGTTCTGGCTCTTGGAAGAGAAGCAAGTACACTCGGGTCATTCGACTTGTGTTATATCTTACGCACATTTTTAGGTTTTAGGTTTAGAAAAAATGGATCAATGATCCAGATTTCCTATCCAGAAAGCCGGTCTGGTTTTGTGGATCGACAATCCGGCTTAATGAACCGAGTAATAAAAAATTAAAAAAATTAGAAGACAAAAATTTGAAAAAAATAAAAGGTGAAGCCGGTTCTTTGATAGAACCAACCATTACTATAAAAAAATAGGCAGAACCAACTAGTTTCTGATATCTTGATGAAACCAGAATGGCCACCGGTTCCAATTGAGACTGAGTCCATTGATTCCAATCCAGCCCGCCATTTTTTTAAGGGTGCGTTTTGTATAGAGCCTAAGCTCTAAACAATCAAATTAGAGCCCTTCAAATAGTGTCGAGAAATATGGTTTTAATATTGGAAATCTTTGTGATAGCTTTAAAATATCTTTTTATATTTATTTATAAAGTTTAAAGCTTCAAAAATAGTGTAAATCGACAGATCTATAAAAACTTGAAATCCATTTTTTTCTAATGTCCATGCTTCTTGATGTCGAGATCATCAAATTGAAGGTCTTTAAGCATCAAAACAACATCTTTTAGTGAAATTTTTGAGATAGGCTCAAATTTGATTATTTAAAGCCTCGGCTTTAAACACCGGAATAAGCCACGCTAGCTTGGTACGATGCTCTATACAACTGCAGCCTTACGAAAAGTATGTTGTAGTCTGTATGAGCACATGCAATGTGTGGTCACGAGGGTCATCACCTTGCAATTAATGCGTTAGATGGTTTAGATAATGGAGATGGAGTGGGACCCACAATCGAGGTCAAGTGGAGTTTGGAATCTCCGACCCTTCTCAGCCATCTCCATCATATATTCTATACGACCAGTCTGCATATTATAGAAATGCGCGCTTAGGAATAAATATATTTTTTAAATATAATTTGATCCTAATTTTTAAAGCGTATATAATCTTTAACATGGAGATCATGAATATGAAAGAAAAAAAAAAAATTTGAAAACTAAAAATAATAATTATATTAAAAAAACTTTTGGATAGTTAGATACACTTGTTTTTAAATGGACCACCAATTTACATCCATTTGCTTTATACTTCTGGACCACATATTGTAGAAATGTGGTCCACCCCGCATGAAACGATTTTCCTATTTTTAGAAATGTGATCCACCCCGCATGAAACAATTTTCCTATACTTATACATGGGTCTAACAGTTTTGAACAGGATTGGATATCGCAATGTAGTTTACAAACTACACATGCCATAAACCGTCTGTACTGAAAATGTACGGTTGTGATGAGTGTGCCTCCCCCTAACTACGATTGAGCAGGAAAATGGTCCACATCAACCGTTCATTGTGAACAATGGATGATAGCTCCCGCTTCGTATACTAAAAAGCGCATCTCATGCATTTTTCATTTTGAATCGAAGTTGGATTTGTGAGATAAGCAACTCTTTTATCCTGTACTCATTACACATAATTTGATTACGAGTGGATAGTATATTCTCCAACGAGCCTCAACTTTATCTAAGTGCTCCAATTTTACATCATCATCATCATCATATGAGTCTACCATTTGCGGTCGGCTCAAATAGATTTTTTTTATCAATTTTACATAATTATGGGGTTTTTTTGACCAAATTCCTTGATGTTTATAGATTTTCCTTTTTCCTATAGATGTTGAAAGCTGTTTTCTTTTTCTTTTACTTTTTTTTTTTTATTGGAGATGTGGAAAGCTTTTTCTTTTTTTAATAGGTCACAGGTAGAAATCGAACTCATTCGTTTTTTTTTTTTTTTTAACACCTTAATCAACCAAGTCCAAGCCGAATTCTTTTTAAAATTGAATAATCCAAACCTTTTCTTTACATGGATATAGAAAAAACTCAAAATGGACGGTGCAAAATAAATTTACAGAACAAGCCATTTTTAGAACTCCAAATCTATTTTTCAGTATTATAGAGGTCCAGCAGATGGATTTGCTATTTTGGATCCTCAATCCATCTCCAAGATGGATTTCGAGGTGCCACCTCATGCAAACCAGGACCGGGCCAAAAGCGTGATCCATATCATGCATCATACAATAAAAGATGACTTTCAGTCCAGCCTAAAACAATATGACTATTCTAGAGCAAGTGAATCACAAAAATGATACCTTGGCAATTGATCTTGTACAAAGTTTCATGTCACAAACCACTCATGAACCAGAAACTCTGTTTCTGAAAGCCATGCCAATAGGAACCTCAACCGGCAATTTCACCAGTTTGTTCAAAACTCGGTGCAAGAACCAACTACTGCCAATATACTAGAGGGGACATTAACCTTTTGCAAAGGAATTGATTCTACAACTACTCCCAACCCCAATATCTTAGTTAACTTTCAAAAATTAAGGATACATGGCCAGCTTTTCCCAAACAAAGGGTAAGTCCATACATAAATATAAAGGTACAATAGGTATAAAATTATATTCTAATTTCAACGCTAGGAGAAGTGGAAGCAGCAGACTCTGTGCCTCTTCTTTTCCATGGGTTTTTGTTTAGAATACTTGCAATCACCCTCGTATAAGCCATTAGTTCCGATACTGACTTCCATAGAAGAAGCCTTACCCTGCTTATCCATGTCTGGTGCTTCTTTTCTACTTATGGTGGCCATATTATCTGAATCCGGTACCACTTTTCTAGATGTAGTGACTCCATGAGCAATGAAACTGTGCAAGCTGGCCTCGGGAATGGCTTCCAAGTTTGGTTCTTCCCTAAGGTTCTCTTCATCGGAGTGTGGGCTTGATCTACATGAGAAATACTCCATTATTTCTTAGAAAATAAACTCTTCTTTTTTGTTACAATAAATGGATACTATAGCTATAATGTAATGGAGCATAATTTATGTTGTGATACATAATAATAACTTGAAAGCATCATTAAGGAAAGGACCAGGCCTTCAAACACGGACCATTTTGAATCTCTCATAATGAACTTAATTTCTCTATGTTCTTTAAGCTTAACATAATGAGACTAAGATTTCAAAAAGCAGATCACCTAACACCTGGGCGGCCGCCTAGGCAGTTCTAGGGGCTTGGACGCATCGCCGAGGCCTAGGCATCCAAAACAAGTGGGACATGGGCGCCTGCCTAAGAGCCCAGGAAGCCGCCTAGGCAGCCGCATATCCTTGGGCGCCCGCCTAGGCACCCGAGAACCCATCCAGGCAGCCGCCTGAACTTGCCTAGGCCGCCCATGGCCTGCGCCCGGTATTTTTGGGTGATATAAATAATAGTACTAAAAGTGAAAAATTGTGAGTTTTAAGTTCATTTGAAACCTAAAATCCATTACAGCCTATTTGAGAGAAAAAAAAACCAAAAAAAAAAATTGCAGCCCAGGTTTTGGCCGCCTGCCTAGGCCTAGCACTTTTTGAAATACTGATTTCATCTGAAAGAACCAATTTTCTGGTCAGAAAAAGAATAATCTCTAGAAACTGTTCATAACTAACATAAGCTATGAATGATCAAAAACAAGTTTAAATAGTTACCTGAAATCACGGCAAGCTGTATTTACATGAAATTCATGAGTCTCACCCTGATTTTCTGACCCCGTTGCATCCATGCTATTAATTCTAACCTTGCCATGGTTAGAACCCTCAATTATCTTTGAAGCCTTTTCCAAATCCAATGAGTCAAGATTGGTGGGAATTATCTCACTATGGTTCCTATTAGCACCAGCATCGCATGGATCCCTGAATGCATCTCTATGAACAAGACCTATGGCCCTTTCCAGGACTTCTAAAGCTCGTTTCACCTCAGGACTGATAAAATGTTCCTCCCATTTGGTATGTTGTTGTGCCTTGGGACTGATCATGGTGTCATTTCTCTGTCTATTGTATTCACTGGAGACATATAGTTCATTCTCATCTTCCTCTATCTCAGTCGTACAAGGCTTATTTATTTGAGCTAAATCTAATGATTCTACTTTAAAGGGGACATTTGAGCCATTTTCATGCTCCTCTTCTATCTCAGTTCCACGCATCTGATTCAAGCCAACTAAATTAGTTGGTTCCATTTTAGAGGAGACATTTTGGTCACTATCATCAACCTCTAATTTGGCTACAAACGTTGAGTTCATATGGGTCAAATTGTTGCCTTCAATTTTAGTCAGGTTTTCCTTGCACTGGAGGTTAACCTCATCAATAGTGGAGTTTCTTGTATTATTTTTAGCATCTTGACTGTGGCTTAGAGCCTCTCGGATATGTTTATACATAGGCCCTTCTTCCAATACCTTGCGGAAATCCTCGTCACCAGCAGCTGCTGAGGCCACTGACTGCACCATCACCAACCAAGTTCAAAATTAAGAAACAGAGCAAAAAAGGAAAAGAACATACACTTTTCTTCCCTAATTCATTATTTTTAGAATACCAATCGCGCAAAGACTCAATCAAGACGATCCCCAGTTGAAACTACAAATGGAATTCACAGCTCAAACAAGAAAATATCACACTATTGTTGTGGCAAAACTCCAACCCCAGAAATAAAAACTCAGTAGAAAAGCCTTCATTTTGAAATGACACCTAATGAACCACCAGTCCACCAAATGACATTCAGTAATAAAAATATCGCCAAGAACTGCTGTTTTAAAACATAAGATTGACATTGGAAGACTTAAAAGCCCTTAAGCCCATTAGAGACTACACAAAAAGTCATCAACAGGTCCCCATAATATCGTCCCATTGGCCTTCATTAAAGTTCAGACCACTTGATCATATGGTATCTTCACATATAGGATAACCAGCAGAGCCTAGGGAGAAACTGATCAGATGCCATGGAAATGGACAATAAGTTCCAAAGGAGAATAGATAAGATTTCCACAATTACAAGGGACTTTCTTCTAGGCAGACTTGCATTAGCCTTGGTGATGAACAAGTATAAAAAGGAATGCATTACCCATAGCTTTGCCAATAACATAGAACGGTAACACAAGCATAATATTAACCTCAAATCAGCAATTTGATGGTTAATACATTTTTGGGGGGAAATGACCTTTTGATAAAGCCTAAAACCATCGCCAATGAGCTGCCTTGATATGAAGTTGATAAGTGAAGGAGGTATGAATTCCATCTTGATATCCATGTTTGCAATTGTCCTGCATAATTGGAAAGTAACACATCTTACAGTCCATATAAATTAAAACAGTTGTAGTGACAGATAAATCCTAATAAGAGTGGATAGTTTACAACATAAAGAGCAACTGTAAGAGAAAATTCTATTCAAAATGGTCTATTCAAAATGGTGCCTCAATTGTCTAAAAACTTGATCTCCATACTAAGAGGAATAAAAATTAGGCAAAGTATCAAGCCAAAAGAATGGGCTCATATAGTTATATGACTTGCATCCTATATCAAAGAAAAGGGATTATTCACAAGTTATCTGGATCAAGTTTCTTCCAATTGACAAAAAGTGTCATCATGTGAAAGTAGAAACAACACCACAGATGGTGAGCATGGAACAAGGTAAATGAAGCTTTCACCACTAACTTTTCTGACTTTGAGAGTAGCCATAAAAAAATAATAATAATAAAAAAATAAAAAATCTTGACCTCAGGAATCTTCTTCTATCTACCATTCTCTTGTGCAGGTAAGCTTTATGTCTATATAAATAAATGAATTAGAGCAAGATCAAACCTATTTGCCTGTTTTATTTTTCTTTAAGTGTTCAATATAATAAAAGATGTGCCAATAAAAGATGGTTATCCCAGTTTCTATCAACTAGTCGCTATTGGGATATGACCAAGTCATTGTCCGAGTTATCTTATCCCAACTATTTGGGCCCACTGGGAAATGACCAATATGCATAGTCAAGGTTTTAAAAAACGCTAGGCGGGCGCCCAGAACCTTGGGCGCCCTGTAGTTTTAAAAAAACAAGAAACGCCTTACGTCCCTAGGCGCTCGCCCAGGTACATCCACCCGTGTAGGGCCACCTGAGTCTAGGTGGACGGATTTTTTGTCCAGGCCGTCTAGGGGGGCGCCTAGGCGCCAGGCGGACCGTTTTTTAAAACATTGTACTTAGTAAATTAACTGCCCAATATTACACCCGAAGAGATGAATATAGCAAAGAATCAGTGCTTAGAAACTATATTGGTTCCTTTTTTTTTTTGGATTACAAACATAGTGCACCAACTTAATCAAGTCTAGTAACATATTATAAACTACTTAAACCTCTGCATAGAAAATAAAGAATGCGGGATCAAAACATCATGCAAGGAAATCCATCCTAAGAATCTGTACTGCGTTCCCACATTCATGAAGTTAATCTCCACTCAGCTAACCTCCACTCCAGGGCACAAAGAAATAGTCTGTACACCCACGAGTTTTCTTTATGGAAAATTGTTTCATGAGTCCAAGGACGCATTTCTACATTTCCATCCCCCATGGAATAAAGCATTCATTTTAAAGATGGATGAAAATGGGCGGTCCATCTAAAAATAGTTGAGACTAATGGTCCAAATGTTCTCTTTGTAAAACTATTGTTTTTAATTTTTAAAATTTATTTATTCTTCCATTTTTATGATCTTCATGTTAGAGATTATATCTCCATAGAAACCATGTCCTTTCTTTATATCAACTCTAGAACACACTAATGAAAGAATTCATATAACTTGAGCAATGAGAAGTTTTACACATGAAGGGATTAGGAGTGATGTTATTGAACATCGACCTTCATGTGCTTTTAAAGTTTCAATTAGGAGGAAAGAGAATCATCTGAAAATTATCACATTTTGTGATGATGGATCATAAAAGTCTAAAAATGAAGAGGAAGAATTCATCATGTAAGAAACATCCATATCATCCATCCTAGACAGTCTTCTATACAAGAATATCTCCTATAGAGCCTTTCTCATATAGCAGGCATAGGTATTTGGAAGCATTTTAAAATTACATCCCACCAGCAGTGATATTTGTATTACTAGTAGAAGAGTCAGAGCTATGAAAGACGTAAAAATGAACTAGAATTAGTTTATCTTCAAACTGGCTGAAATACTCATTAAACACTTATAAAAACAAATGAAACCATGTATCCATTTGGGGATGTTTTTCATGAAAAATCTGGAAGCAAATAATTACAATAGCTGACCTGAAGTAGCTTTGTTTTGAGCTCACTTTTTGTAGTGCAAAACCTCCAACCACATCCACACGCACAACATCTTCTGGAGCTCTATCAAAGGTCAACCCAGGACAAATACTGTCTGGTGATTCTGTTTCACTGACCTGATCCAAAACAAATAATTAAAAATAAAACAGGATTAGCTTCTTTCTTTATGGAATATGATGAGCGTGAATCTCAATGGCATGCTGCAGTTATGACAGAACTCAGCATAACAAAAATACCATTTTCACAATATAAACATTTCCTCAATAATTCTATTGCAATAATATATGCCAAAATTCCATAACAGCCAGTACTTACTGAATTGAGAAGCACAATGATGAGATCTTGCTCAAAATATTCTATTTCACAATAGTGTAAGATAACTTCCCTTGTTGAAAGTGGCCATGGAACCTTCAACCTTTCTTCCAAATCAGCAATTATAAAAATATCAATTATTTGAAGCTGAAGAGAAGTGCAAAAAAATTTGAATGGGACTCTCATATATAATCATGTTGAATAGCACTGCAACTAACCTGATCAAAGAAATCTCTTCACCGATTCGTAATTTCTTTAAGGACTTAGATAACATTACTTTAAAAGTTGGAAAACTTGGCTGAGGCCACCTAGGACATATAAAAGAGGAAAACATAAATGAGCAAATAATGCCCCCAATGATTGGATATCCGTAACTCCTTTGATTTGCTATCATTCTAATTGGGACCAATAAAATATAAATGCCAACAGATGCCCCAAAATATGAGAGGTTTCCGATTAAAAAAATTCACAATTTTCCAGCTACTTATCTACAAATTGTGACAATCAAACTATAAAAAATAAACGAAATGTCATGATGTTATTTTGCAGCATCAGGGACATTCTTGCATGCGATGGGCATTAAAAATCCATACCTATCAGAATGCATATTATCGAACTGTAAAATACACCCCAAAATAACATTAAGGCTCTTTTTCAAATCATATACATCTGCTTCAACATATTATCTTCAGGTTATAGCCAAGACCAACAATTCTTTAATTGTTTTATAAGTCACACTTTTATTGATTGCCCATATTCTTGATCAATATCTTTAACCTCAAAAAAAACCTCCAAGAAGCCTGATAGACTACAACATAATATTTGAACAGTACAACTTGATGTTCACTAATCCAGTTTCTTTGTCCTCTTTCTGGGCTATAAACAAGCTCCACATGTGATTCTTACTATATCGAAGGATAATATACCAAGTTATCAAGCAATAATATTTTAAAAATCATAAAGAACTACTACCCAGGACCAGGGGCATAACTATCAAATTTTTATCATTGTGAAGACTGCAGTATGGCCTGAAACAAGAAAAACAGAGCAGAACACTCACACATCTCCTCTAAGAGAGCACCATGAAGTAATTGTAGCCTGTACAACAACAATAATGCTAATGTGACTAGTTTCCAAAATATGATATAGCACATCCAAAATGTGATAAAAAACATTCATGATATCATATGTATCCTACCTTAAGTAATTGCTATTATCATTTAAGTACAAAGTTCAAATGTCATACATAATCGATTGAATTTCCATTTACGTGCTCTACTATCTTGTGGCTAACATATGATTACTCTTACATTACAGATATCATTGTTTTGAGTTATCTGCAGATTTACATGACTCCTATGTACTTTCCATGTTTCAGGTGTATGACCAGTAAGTAGATCTACCAGAGCAGGCCCAACCCCTATTTTGTTGTGAGAGTGAAAATTAAAAGAACTAAATTTTGAGAGCTTATAGATTGATTCATAATTGTAATTAATCAACATCATGTATAACAACAGAACATATGGTAAGAACTATCAAAATCAACACAGAACATTGCTCAACAAGATCCTCACCATTTTGGATACAGATCCGACTCCCATGAAACACATAAACCTGAAAGAGAACAGTTTAAAGAGAAATTATAGTTTGACAATGTCTTGGATTTATTTTATATTATGATCATCAGCGAAAACTATTTTAGACATATATCCTCTTAAAATGAACTCACAGTTATCAATTGCGCCATCAATGTAGCCCTCACAAAGTAGTGTATGGTATGGACTACCCTCTGGACCTTCACGATACATGATACGTATTTGGTCACCATCTTCTTTCATCTAGAAACAATATAAGATACAACCAGCACAGATAGTCATAGATTAAGGATCACACCAAAGAATAAAAAATGGCATATCAAGATTTATAATTTCTTAGACAACCAGCACGTCTAATAATTGCTGACCTGCCATGTCAGTTCATCACTTGGTGAGTTGCATCTGAAATAGGCAAAACTCCCTTGTGACTTTAGAACATTTATCAAGTTTAGTAAAGATCCAGAAAGTACCATATAGAAAATATTGCGTTTTAAATCATTTCGCTTACTTAAATTATTGACCCAGCAAGACTTTGTCAATTTGACTAAAGGGCTCAAGAGTCAAAACAAAGTCTGAATCAGTAAACTTATGACTCTAATAATTCAAGTGATCATATTGCTAGCTCTTCTAACCAACCCATGCCTGTCAAAGATTTAATTATCCAACTAATGCATATCAACTAGACTAACCATCATCATCATCGTCAAAGGCTTTTCCAACTAACTGGGGTCGGCTACATGAATCCTGGTCAGTCATTCTGCTCTATTAAGGGTCATACCCTTAGTGAGGCCATAAGTCCTTGGAGTCGGCTACATGAATCCTGGTATGCTGTTCTGCTCTATTAAGGGCTATACCCTCAGTGAGACCATAAGTCCCATATCTTTGCTCACTACTATCAATTAGCCTAATCATGAAGGACAAAAAAATGGTCATATATTAAATGAAAATTTCAATGTGCTAAATACCGGAAAGCATGCAAATTACTTTTCAATCTTGAGTTTGTGTCAAGACTGTTATTAATGGAAGAGTGATTTGGGGCTTCATTTAGTTTGACCTACTTTTCTCTCAACCTTGAGTGAGTTTCTTGTTTTCTACCCACCACTAACCGTCCATAATACACCTTTTCTGCTCTAACTGGTTGAGAGAGAGAGAGAGAGAGAGAGAGAGAGAGAGAGAACACAAGAAAAAGAGCATAGAATATGAATTCAGAGGAGAAGACAATAACTTCCAACATATTTTCTGATGATAGAAGGTTAATCACGATTATGCAAAAGCATGCATGCGGAGTCCATGCCAGAATAAAGAAGTTACGAAAAACAAACCTTCCAGTTATTATGTGGGACCGTAGGGCTCTGACATGTCTCAACTTCTGAAGCACTTCTCAACATCTCAAGAAGATTCCATACATTTGAGGTATGTTTTTGTACAATTCTGTTGAAGTCACCTGTGTGGATATAAATGATTGATAAATATGTATAACCAGACAATGTTTATAAGCTTCATGGTATTTTGGAGATATTTACAAAATTTGAATCTTAAAGCATGCAAAGCAAGGAAGATTTAAGGATTGGCACTAACTTGAACTAAGGATATAAACTTAAACAATCAATCCCTCACCAAAACAATATCCTACATTTGGGAAAATATGACCACAAAAAGGGTAAAGATGTTTTGAAGTTATGTCATGGCCTGCATAATGTTGGAAATTGTTTGGTCAAAAATATGAAATTTTAAAGTACTTGTGTTGTAGTTCTGTGAATATACATATCACATTCTGCATCATGCCACACAATAGATAAAAATAGTCTTTAAAAATAAAAAATAAAAGCATGCAGAGATATGCAGTATCCAAAATGCAAAGAATGGAATATAGCTTCTTTTCAAAGCGTGCCTGATAAAAGAACCAGGTCAGAAAACCATGTATGTTTGGCTAAACAACTGAATTTACTCATCCTCTACCCACATAACGGGTTACAACAGGACCAGCTGAAGCACCTAATTGAGTCTCAGCCCGACTGATATAGCAAGCTTTGATTGGTTAATCATGTCATTGGAAATTTTGTGTTACTGCTTTTCCTAAGAGGCATGTGACGAGATAACCTGTGGGTCCAACTACCTATATCTTCCTTATGCTCGTTTCCGAAGCATGCACTTAGATCTTCTCTTGAGGAGTCATTCCCTAGATCGAGTTAGCATATATTCAGGTCTTTCTAGACCAAGCATGGGAGCTCATTGTCCAGCTAAATAGTTCCACATGAGACCTTCATTGAATGAGCTGAGAGAAGCTAAAATGAGACCATCCCTCACAAAGCAAAAAAATGCATTTTGGCACACTCATGTGATAGTCGACTGACCTCTGGAAGCCAAAACTAAGTTTTGGTACACAGTTTAGAGGAACATGTACATATCAAAGGGCAACAAATATTGCAGAAAAATACACTGAAAAGGACCAAACTAACTTTCTGGAAAGTGCAAATTAGAAAGGCCCAATAATGGCCAAAGTTCCCTCAGGTAGTATAGAAAGAACAAAGAGATAAGATGAGACAATGAACAGCACCGGCTCTCAATACAACATATTGCACAAAATTCATGAATGAACCACCCAAATTTGGAGGCAATGAAGAAAATGAGCACAAACACAGCCAAGAATTCATGCATGTTATCTGCATGGGACTTGGTGAGAAAGATGACCATCCCTAGAAAGAGGAATGGGCAAGAGACTAACAACAGTTTCATTCACAAAACCATCCAAGTTGATTCGACACTCAAATTCCATGTGTTCAATGAGCTCATTAACACTACATCAGTGGATACTTGAACCGTAATATAGTCTACAAAAAACAAGATGAACGACTAGACCATCTAAAGCTTTCAATGCAAGGTAATTGCATTGGTCATGTAGATTTCTTGAATTAGAGACCTTGTCCATGGTGAAGCAACGATTAACAGGGAAGCCTGCACAATTAGGAGTAAGAATAAGAAGAGCTAGCAGAGTTCAAGAGAATAGTACTGACAGACGATTAGATGTGGCATGGATAAAATAAATAAATTGGTGAAATTCTACAAGTTGCATAAATTGGGGTGCCTCCATAAACTGGAGCAAGATATGAACAACATGAGAGATGTACGGTTAAGTGGTGATTGAGGTATATCAGTCCCATCATTGAGTTCCAACTTCCAAAGGGGTACAGGAACCAAGTATTCAGGTATAATTTAGAGAGATGAATCGTAACTGTAAACCTGCGTCACCATCAGGGTCCTTAATTCTCATGTCACTTAATTCTCATGTCCTTAATTCACATGTCCTTAATTCTCATGTCACTTCAGTAAATATTGCCTATTCATAAAATTAAAACAAAAAAAAGAAAAGAAAGTTGTGCATAGGGCATAAATTCAAGAAACCTTCACAATCCTACCAACAATTATCAGGCTAGGTATATCATCGATGAAGTATTTAAACGAGGAATTTAGCGGGAGAGTCCTTGTCATCATATATTTACTAGGTGATTAATAGAAAATTCATTAAAAATGATTATTATTATTTTTTTTGATGAAGTTAACAATCATTAAAACTGATTTCTTTCATTTTAGAAAAGAAAGAAAGAGAAATTAGTTGCTTACAATGTTGACAAAAAAAAAAGAGATCATTTACTAAACAAAATGTAAATGTAAACTCATATAAACAAATACATTTCAAAATTCATGTTTCACAATTCAGGAGTGCCACGGATCATTTTACTGGTTCTAAAGCATGTTAAACATAATAATTTAAAGCTCTTAGGGCTATTTAATTATCATGAATCATGATATTTTTGGGTGGCACAATGTATTGAGAGATATGTTCAGCTATTCTTTTTATATCAACAAAATCATAATAAACTGTTTACTCAAAAAAAAAAAATACTGGAATTTTTTTATCCTTGGTGCTCCACTCATTTTATCTTCCCGTGTGAAAAAATAATGAATAATTCAACAAAAAGTCTAAAAAATATAAAGAAATACAACCGAAAAGATCAAAATTCATCTATGAAATTCACCTTCCTTCTGGTCTGGTAAGGATTTAGAGAGCTGATTCTCGACAATGGATTTAACAACTTCCTTATCAGTGAGATCAGGCGAGAAGAGAGTTCTATCGAGCTTCTCCCTGTTCTCAGAGATCCTCTTCTTCTTCTTCTCCATCACATTTCCACTTTCAATGAAATTCTTCTTCTTCTCCATAGCATTTCCTCCTTCAAAAAAATCCTACTTCACATGGTCTTTAGATTCAAGTTTTCCTATTACTCAACACAACTGAGAGCAAACCAGCTCTCTCTCTCCAAATCAGAACAACCCGACTCTATCTCCCTCTCTCTTACGCTACACAAATGAGAACCACCCAAGGTCTCTTTCTCCCTCTGTACCAACTCAACTCTCTCTCTCTCTCTCTCTCTCTCTCTCTATATATATATATAAGAGAAAACTCGAGAAAGCGAACTCTCTCTCTCTCTTTGTAGAGAGGCGAAGAACAATCTGCTAATACAAATCTATGCGTCTCTTTCACATCTGCTCATGCAAATCTATGCTTTTCTTTCACATGTCGTCAAGCAAGAGCCCCTCGTCGACTCTGCTCTCGTCAAAAACCATGTTCTTTCTAAACCAAACGAATTATAGCTCCTCCCTCCATCCCGATGGGAAGAGAGAGAGAGGTGTAACATGTTGAAGTTACTAAATTCGGATTCTGAGAGTGGGAGAATCCGGAAAAGCGTTGCGCTCGTCAAAAGAAATCCATCCACTTTTTTTAGTAATCGAAATCGTAAAAGATATCATATCCCTCTAGGAGTACACTCACCGCATAAAACTCTATTATTTAGGACCTCTATTTTTTTTTATGAAAATAACCTCTTCAACCCATATAGATTAACCTCATAATTATTATTTTTTTCTCATTGTACCTTCACTCAACAAAAATAATATATTCAATTATGCAATGTTTAGATAGTGAAATCTAAGTGTCAGATAAATTAAAATTAAACTTTATATTTGTTTAGAATATTTTAAGGGTGTGGTTTGTATAAGGCCGAGGTTCTAAACAATCAAAATAAGACACCTTCAAACAGCATCGAAAGATGTTTTAATACTAAATTTTTTTGTGATGGTCTCTAAAAATTTATTTTCATTCCCAATTATAAAATTTCAAGCCTAAATAATTAGTATAGATGGAGCGGATCTATAAACACTTGAAAATCTTGAAAATTGATGGTCTAGAATATATATTATAAGATGCACTATTTTCAAGACTTGAAATCCATTTTTTCTTACGTCCATACATCTTAAGGTCGAGATGATCGATTTGAGGATTTTTCCACATGAAACAACCTCTTCTAGTGAATTTTTGATGTGCACCTTATTTATATTGTTTAGAGCTTCACCCTTATATAAACTTTTCTCCATTTTCAAATTGATAAAATATTTTCCGATAATATTTCGCGCTCATCGAATGAGAGAGATTCAATTATATAATCAAAATTGACAGAGAGAGAGAGACAATACCTCTTTGTATGGAGCTGAGGCTCTAAACAATCAAAGTAGATCCCACCTTCACATAGTACCGAGAAATGTGGTTTCAATACTGAAATCTTTTTGTTAGCCTTAAAATATATTTTCATCTTTAATTATAAAATTTAAAATATAAAAAATAGTGTCGATCCAGTATACCTATGAAACCTTCAAAATCTTTAAAATTGACAGTCTAAAATGTGTTACAAGATGCATTATTTTCAAAATTAAAATCCTTTTTTTTTTTTGTCGATTCATCATGATGTAGAGATGATCAATTTAAGATATTTGGGTATCAAATAACCTCTTTTAGTAAATGTTTTACGTGGTATCTAATTTGATTGTTTAGAGCCTCAGTTCTATACAAACTTTTTCCCTTATTTTAGAGAGAGAGAAGGCGGGGATCGGGGGATTACCTTGTGTCCGTACACGAGAGTCGTGGTGCGCCCGTATTGATTGTTTTATAATTAATGATAAATAAATACGGCAGTGTCCTGGATAAAAGGAGAAGAGGACGATCCACTCTATATTCTAATTTAGAAACTTATGGCCTTCATGCAAATTATCAATTTTAGATATGTTCAATTGACAATAATATTTTACCCTCAACTTTTACTCCATAAATAACCATGGCCCTTCACTCTATGGTGTCCATTGTTCCTTAAATTTACAGACATGGAGATGAAATGTTCAGGGAAATTAACTGAGCATTCTTATTTTACTTTTTAAACTTAAAAATACTTCCTTTACGGTTAATATTTTACACTCATTTCCAGATTCTGTAAAGTGGTTCCTGTATTTTATTTTATTTAGTTCTATGTATATCGGATTAATTTAAATTTGGGATATGTATTTTCTCGCCCACATGCACCTGTAAGTA